CCATGATTCAATGTGAGACAAAGACCTCTGGGATGAGCGGTGCATCCCAGTGCAGGGTGCTGGGGAGCACCTGCAGGCTCACCTTGCCAGAGCTACTGGTAGCCCAGGAGCAGCCAAGGAATCACAGAACAGTTTTGTGCTTTCCTGAACAGCATAACTACCGCTGAGGACATCTAGGATCCATGAATGTGGATCTGAGTCCTCCTGTCCATTAGTTGCTCATTTGTAAAGTGGGGAGTAGGACATACCCTCCTTCCTGAGCCACTGGGACATGAGGACATTTAGAAGTGGATCACCTCTTGTCTTGCTGAAGATGTGTAAGAAACAAAAAGGAAGCAAACTGCGGGAAGCCTGTTTATAACTAGTGCGTTTACAGTTGTAATTTTGTATGAGGCTTGGAGGCTTTGGGATGGGGATTATTTCTCTTTTCCTTCTGATGTTTCTCTGGTGGTTTTCTCATTTTAAAACCAGGTATTGTTCAACAAGTTTTTTTGCTTGGTTTTGGGGATTTTATTTTTTTTTTTCTTTTTGTTAAGGGGAGAAGAAGCTTGCCTTTGCTTTACTTAGCTTTATTTTAAATAATATTTTATTTTAAGAGGGTTATTTTACAATGTTTACAGTGCGCTTCAATTTTTTATTGTGTCATGCCCTTCCAGCCCCTTGGCGGGATGAGAGGTGAGTGTATGTATTATATAATTTATAATTAATTTATGATGAATCACATATGATGAATACTGCTTATTAAATATTAAAGCCTTGTCTACAGTCATGGCTGCGCCGTGGCAGTAGCACGTCTATCTGTTCATGTGATTCTCATAAGCAAACTCATGGACTTACTTTGGGATGGCAGAGCTCCTTTATAAGAGGAGTCTTAGCTGCCTGCTTAGACAAATGTTGTTAAGGAGAATTACTTCTCTTTCTGGAGTAGGTGCCTTGTTACTGCCTTCTCCTTGCCCCAGCAAGTGGAGGTGTAATCGAAGAGCAATCTCTGCGGAGCACAGTTGAGAAGATGCTGCTGGTGGTTCCCCAGCTCCATGGGGGGTGCTATGAGTCCTGGCTCCTTGCCCCCCTTACCCCTGGCTGCCAGAAAGCTGGGCCAGCATCAGAAGGTGGCTTAACAGGAGGTAACAGCCTGGAGCTGGACAAGTGGAAAATCTAGGCTAGATTTTGACAGGTCTTTTTTTATTAGCGAGGACTGGAATTTGGACAAGGGAATAATATAGCTGCAGAGGTCATTCCAGCATCTGGAACTAATAAACTGCCAAAGAAAGGTGGTAAAACAGAAAGGGGGGGGGGGGGAAATGCAGGGGAAAAACAATGCCAGCTTAGGGTAGTAGGCTTAATGAAGGTATTTTCCCAAATTAGCAGCAATGAGTCCGTGAATTGAAGATAGTAGCTTTGACACAGAGCTTTCCCAACTCCTCAGATCCTCTGAAATCAGAGGAAATCTGTCTGGTCAACATTATAAGGCAGAAAAGGGAAAGCAGCCTTCTACTGGTGTTTTGTGCTCTGCTTCACCTTCCTGGGAGCTTTGACCCACGTGTCTGGCTGAGGACAGTGTCCAGCAAGGACCAAACACTGTCACCGTGTGTGATGCAACAGAACTTAACCCCAAAATCCTCCCCGGGCAAACAATGCCAGCTTAGGGTAGTAGGCTTAATGAAGGTATTTTCCCAAATTAGCAGCAATGAGTCCGTGAATTGAAGATAGTAGCTTTGACACAGAGCTTTCCCAACTCCTCAGATCCTCTGAAATCAGAGGAAATCTGTCTGGTCAACATTATAAGGCAGAAAAGGGAAAGCAGTCTTCTACTGGTGTTTTGTGCTCTGCTTCACCTTCTTGGGAGCTTTGACCCAGGCGTCTGGCTGAGGACAGTGTCTGGCAAGGAACAAACGCTGTCACTGTGTGTGATGCGACAGAACTTAACCCCAAAATCCTCCCCGGGCTGTACCTACTGCCAGCCCAGCAGGCAGATTTTCCCCTGCCTTTAGAAAAAAAAAGTGTTGACTCTGGAGCGGTTGTTACAGCAGGTAGATCAGAAGAGGAGGGAGAGGAAAGTGAGAATTTGGGGCTGAGAGTAGGACATGTGTGATTTCAGGTGGAAAACACCTTGAAAGTGTGTGCAGGTTTGCTGAGATGCCTGCATCGGCTGTACCTACTGCCAGCCCAGCAGGCAGATTTTCCCCTGCCTTTAGAAAAAAAAAGTGTTGACTCTGGAGCGGTTGTTACAGCAGGTAGATCAGAAGAGGAGGGAGAGGAAAGTGAGAATTTGGGGCTGAGAGTAGGACATGTGTGATTTCATATGCAGGGCCATGGAAAACACCTTGAAAGTGGCAGTTCTGTTGCTGAGATGCCTGCATCGTGTGGAACGGGGGCTGGAAGCAGCAGGCAGAGCATCCATGCACTGAGATAAAAAGCTACACCGTCTGCCAGGAGTGACCACCTGAAAGGAATGCTATGCAGGGCCATGGAAAACACCTTGAAAGTGTGTGCAGGTTTGCTGAGATGCCTGCATCGTGTGGAACGGGGGCTGGAAGCAGCAGGCAGAGCATCCATGCACTCAAATAAAAAGCTACATCATCTGCCAGGAGTGACCACCTGAAAGGAATGCAGTGCTAAATAATTCCAATTAGTACAGTGCAAAAGGAAAGGAGCGTAATTAATCCTGGCTTTATGGTCCTCTGTAACCAACTTGTACTACGTACAGCTTGTGAGATGAAATATTGCAAAATCCTTAGGGATTTTTAACAGAAAACAATGCTTCTTAGGGTAGCTGCACCATGGGGAAGAAATACTAACGCCCAGGCGTATTTCTCAGAACTTCTTGTTTATTTTCTGAGAGCTCGGGCTTTAGTAATTGCAACAAAATCAAATTCTAGTGAATATTTGACTCCAGTTTTGCTCTTCTCCCATAGCTTTCATAGGACAATTTAATGACATGACAGATTATTAGGAGCTTGTTTTAATATTAATTAAATCACTCAGACAGACAAAATTCTCAGTCCTTAAAATTACATAAACAAAATTGATTTATAAGATTTGATCTTAATGGGGAGTGATGTATTCATTGGTATTGAGCCTTTGATCTAATATCCCTTTATACATAGAGCTGGGAGGAGAAGATTGGGAAAAACAACCTATAACAATATGTGGAAATTACTAAAGGTGTAATTGTGTTTAGTAACGTTGCATTTTGTTTTGTATCAGAGGAAATTAGTGAAGAAAACTCGTCTTTGGTCCTAGGGGTGGCAGCAGCACTAGGATTGTAGTTTGAAACAGACAGTTTTCACTGAATCTCACATATCTAGTTACATTTCTTTCTTTTCAAGTGACTCAGATGAGTAAATTGCACATAAAAAATGCAGTGACCTGATCTCTTTTTTTGCGTGTTATTAAGCAATTGTTGAAGTCCTCACTGATTATATTAGGTCAGCTTATTCTCATTATTAAATGTGGTCATTAAAATGCCAAACATATTTTTATAGAATTCACTTCATTAAATGTCAGCAAGTCTGTATGTTTGTATTAGTTCCAAATCAGATATTTCAATAGACCATTTGTAAGTATTCCCAAAGTGACTTCCATTTCTGAGTTTTTTGAGACCACACAAAAATATTACAAATTAATCAGATTTTCAGATTTCTGCATAATAACTCTGCACGCTTATTGTTTAATCCTATTCTAAAATGCTGTTATGATTGACACCTTGCTGTAGAGATAGAAGTCAATTGAATAATATGTAGCAGTCAATTTTATTTGTTCCTTAATGTGTTGAAGTATTTTTTTTTTCCCCCCCACATTTCCATTATTTATAAGTCTGTCCCCTTGGAGAATATATAGAAGAATTTGTTTTAAATGAGCTGATAATACCCTCTTTAAAATTTATAAGTATGACAGAATCGTATCCTTTTTCCTTACTGCACCAGAGTGTGCCAATAAACTGGTTCTGAATTATCTTCTGTGTGCTATTCATAGGACAAACACTGGAAAAGAGACTCTCGTTAAGGTTTTACTTAGAACAGAATTTCAGCTGCTCATCAGGAAAAACCCACCAGAATAGGAGCTATCCTACCAACCAGGAAACCCGATGCCGTTGCCAGGGGTTTTATTTTTTAAGATACCACACTGCTCTTGCAGCTACTTTTGATACTTTGCTGTCAGTCTGCCAGCTTCAAAGATAAATGTGGGCCTGGTCGGGCCATCGGGGCTGAAAAAGTTTGTGAAGCCATGCGAGTCCTTCACCCAGAGGAAGCAGAGGGTTGGAAGGTAGTTTGGAAAACATCTTGGTACTTCCTCACAACTGTTTTTCTTTCTCTTTTTCCTTTTCAAATCTGTGTTGCAGACTTCAGCAAAATCCAGTAGGGCTGGACTGTGCTCTGTGCTTGGCAAGTCATTAGCGCCCGGCATATAGTTTGATTGTTGGGTATTGATCATCTCAATAAATGCTGGAAATCCTGGATTTCACAGAATTTTGCTTGTCCCCCCCAATTTAGCAAACAAGCTGTCATTTGGAAGCGTACCTGTTTTCATAGGGCCTTTTTATCGCGCGTGGTACAGCCTTTGCTGCCTCTGTAACTGACAAAAGAAAATACTTTTATGAAGATACAGAGTAGAAGTGACTTGATTGTTTTTCAGATAATTTTTGCTTTCAGGAATTAGAATGGCTGATGCTCACCTAAGCGTAAAAAATGCAGTTCCCACCCGCGCGGAGTGCTCATGTACTGTATGTAAATTGATGTATAATGCAGCCCACATTAGCCGGGTTGATGATAGCTTCAGTTTCACTGCTGTCAGATTTGTGTAGCTCTTTGAATGAGCTGGCTGGTCTGAATGAACGTTAGCATAATTTATGCGGCTGATAAGTGATTTGAGTGCCTGAGTTATTGATAAAGCACTTTAACGTATCATTTTCAGCTTGATGTTATGTGACATCAGAGGAGAAGGTAATGTGGCAGTCCCCAGGCTTTGATATTAAAGTCGATCTGCTCTTTGGATTTCAGAGGCCAGAGGAAACACGGCGCTGCCTGACTCAAGTCCACCAGACCAGCACCAACCCAGTCAGTCGCATCCTGCGTTCCCTGTTGGGCCTCAGGTCAGTGTCTTTCCATTCAACTAATCAAGATGTACAATTTGATGAAAAGTAAATAAATATGATTGATCATCTTTGATCTGTATAATGTAGAAAATGTGATTCTGTTTGGCTGTGTTTAGCGTTAGGAAAAGGGAGCGTGCACGTCTCCTGTATGTTCTAAAAGTTACTTGTTTGGAAGGATTTACTTTTGGTATGTTTTTCTAAAAGAAAACCTAAGCAGTTTTGCATGTTTAGGAGGTTAAATTATTTGAATTTCTTATATAAGTTATTTTTTAAATACATGTCATAATTTAATATTAAAAAGCTTGTGCAATTTTAATGCAACCTTACTGGCTTTAACAGTTCTGCCTGTCACACACAACTCCTGCATTAGTAAAGGCATTTCATTATCTTTTATGCCAGGTATTTATTTTCTTTAGAGCAAAGTGTAGGCATAATAGTATGGCACTGTATCACATTGTGAAAGATTTCTCATGCCACTTCCCAATTTTGTCCAAGTTTAGCCATACTCATAAGAAGGCACTCGATGTTCCTCCACGTCCCAGGACAGTCTTGGTCCACAGACTTCTGGCAATTGTTGCTGTAGTGTTTTCCACTTTCACCAATCAGCATACAATTGCGAAAATTTGGGAAATGTTGCCATTTAGGTACTTGCAGGTTGACTTGGGTTTGGCCTTCTTGTGTTTATAAATTCATTACAGGTGCATCTTTGGTGGACCTGTAATGAATTTTTCAGTTCTGGACTTAAGTGGGATCGCCACCATGCTCCATGACTGGAAGGCTTACAGGTTCAGACTGTCAAGTTTCTCAAAACTTTCTGTGTTGGTGAAAATGTTTGCTTTAAGATACTGGAAGCAGTGTGGGTCTATAATGGAACGTGAAAGGAGTTGCAGGTGTGTAATGCCGAGGTGTTTGCAGTGAAATAGGCTCGCTGTGTCTGTGTTTGGTTACAGCCGTTACTGACAGCCCAACAGTTGGCCTCGGCGGTGGCGGGGGTGATGCCAGGAGGCACTCCAGCCCTCAATCAGCCCATCCTTATTCCTTTCAACATGGCTGGGCAGCTGGGGGGCCAACAAGGACTCGTCCTAACCCTACCTACAGCCAATCTCACCAACATCCAAGGACTGGTAGCAGCAGCTGCAGCAGGAGGCATCATGACTTTGCCATTGCAAAATCTACAAGGTGAGTCATGTTTAGCATTTTTCTAATAGCTTCTTTTGCCTGTTTGTTTCACCTTATTTCTCTCTTTTAAAGCCAGATGTCTCTTTTTCCAATGAAATGTTTCTCTTGATGGGTATTGAAAGTTAATACTTAGCTTGTTTTTGAATACTTGATGGCTACTTAAGGGATATTTGCATTTTTATAAAAACAGATTGGAGGCTGGGTCTTAGATTCTGTGTGTCAGTGATGTAAAGTACTTGAATGATTCATTAGGCGTTTCTGTCACCAGTGATCAATGTTCCCTACTCACCATTCACTTCAAAATTTCAAATGGCAGCATGAAGACAAGTATTCTGTTTCACCACTGCTGATTAGGGTAGCTGCACAACTAGGGGCAACTAAAAACACAGCATTGCATGAAAATCACTTTAAAGAAACCCCTTTTATAATAAAAAATCAGAGTTTTCTTAGCTGCCATCAGTGTCCCAGGTAGGTGTTCTCATTCTTGCTGTGGGAGGTCTGCCTTATCAATAAGGTCCCACCATCCTCATCCAAGTTGTTGGTCGAGTTACATGACTCCAAAGTCACAAGCAAAAAGTTCACCTCTGTATGTGTCCTCCTAATGTCTGAGCTACCTTAAGATATCTGTTGCCTTCTCCCTGTGGTCTAAAATCAGACTGAAAGCAGTTCTGTAAGATCCCTGTTCTTCTTTAGTGGACTTTGCTGTTCAATCATTGTGTCTAACACCGTTAGAAACAGTACTCAATCTGAACACATAAGGTATAAAATACAGATGTATTTACTTCTCCTAGTTACGTTGGTTGCTTCTCAGAAAGCAGTGGCTGCTGAACAGAACTTAACCAAGTGTAGCAAGATAAATATTAGTCAATATCTTACAAGAGAATTTTACAGCTTTAATGGAAGAGGATGGTAAGAAGTGATTGTCCACTGGGAAAGTGATGAAGGCGTGAGCAGGAAGTATCAAAATAAAGCTTTAGCTCTTTCAATGTATTTATTTGGTTGGTTGTTTGGGGTTTTTTTATGTCTTGCTGATGTAAACCATAGGAAAAGTTTTCCTGAAATGCAACGGTAATTTTTTAAAATGAATTCTCTGCTCTACACCCTAAGTACTTTTTACTTATTGGACTCTGGCTGCTGATCTGACTTGTTTGAGGCACCAAATCCTACAGGTTGTGAAATAGAGAAAAGGAAGAGACAGCTCACGTGTTGAACAAACTCCCTTACAAACCACATGCGTAGTACTCTCACCTGTTGGAGCAGCTACTTGCCTTTACCTTGTGCGTGTTTTAAAGTTTAATGTCAACAGACCTCTCTTATCATAGTTGTAAATGGTTTTCACTTTAATGTTTAAAATAATGTCTCTCTCATACCATTAAGCTGCACCGAAGAACCTGTCATTCATAAATCATAGATGAAAAGGACACACTAATGCACAAATTTTGCTTGTTTAAAATTTGAGAGTGCATGTAAAGTAGGGAACTGGAGATTAAAAAAATAATGCAGGAACAGGAGCGGGTAAAAGCAGATAAAACAAAGTGAAGGGGAAGTGGCTTTTTAGCGTAGGTGGATGATGAAATCTTAATGAAGAAACGGGCATTATAAAAATGTATCCTTCCACTCTGGAGTGCTCCAGGTTATAGTTGCTGGGTATGGAGTATTATAAATAAACATAAACTCATGCAGTTCTTACGTCATTTGTTCACCCTGTGTTGTGAAGCTGGAGGGTAAGGATTATGCCAGGCAACCTTTGCTCTTTAGTTTAGCCATGGGTGTCTAATTGCTAGCTAAAAGGTGTAACTCTGCTGCCAAATAAATTTTGCAAGCAATGACCTTACCAGATGAAAAGGTTTTCTCTATAATCTTTACTGGTAGATAGAAGCATGGGATCAAATAGGGACTTACTGGAGCATCAGGTGCAGTTCCCTCTCTATGGATGCAATCGCACCTTCCATAAGTAGCTGAAAGGAACAGACCCCACGAGTTCTCTTAGCATTGCTGTTTGTCCTTTTCTTTACCCTTCCCTCCTGATCTCTTAAGCAAGAGCCACAGCCCTCATCATTTGGAAGAGAAACTAAAATGAAGAAACTCCAAGATAGCTCTTAAGAGCCCTGAGTCACAGCTGTAAGCTTCTGTTGCTTCCTTGGTAGCCCTCTGCCCCGTGCAGGAGTGAATGAAGGTAGAAGTTGGGTTCTGGAGAACAGCTCTAGCTGTGTGGTGTCATCAGCTCCGTTGAACCTGACTGACTTTTGGTTTTTGTGGTTATTTGGAAGATAATCTTAGAATGCGTGTTCTGTTTTGTATCCAGCACTTTCATAGGTGTACTCATAGAAGGCCATGCTTCAACACAGTTTTGGTAATTCCTGCTCTTTGGGTGAAATCAGACCATATTCATCAGCTTCCATCTCTCAAACCTCACTGTGGCAGGGGCAGTCTAGATGACTGGGGGACACGTTTTCATGCTGTTTTTTAACCTGTCTTATTAACCCTGTTGTTCTCATCACATCTGCTGTCCCTGCAGTCAAGTATAGAAGTCCACAGCTCCTCTGAGCTGGGTCTTCTCCTGTCTTCTTTTTCTTTTCTTACTAGTAAACTTCTAAACCTCTTCATCACAAACTCCCCCAACTAGGTAACTCAGAAGACACCCTGAAGACTTTTTGAATAATGTATGAATTTAGAAAAGTTCTTTCATACTAAATGTTGATCAAGGGAATAATCCCACTATGTTTTGTGTGATCCACATATATGTTTAACTGATTTGCTTCTCAAGGACTTTCAGGTCTGGTTCAGGGCAGTAAGTGTGAGACCTCAGGGTGACTAGATAAAACAATGCAAACCTTTACTTGTGGAGAGAAAAGAACATTCAGAGCTGGGAATCATAGAAGAGATGTGTTAAGTATTTAAATTGAGAAAACTAGAGTTTCTTTAAAAATTCAAGACATTGGTAAAATGGAGCGATTAATGATATGGAAATTACTCATGCAGTATAACTTATTCAGTGAAATTACCTATTCTTCAGTTGTCAGTTACTTATAAACAAGATATTTTTTTTTTCCCAAATGTATTTGTGTTAAATTGTTCAGTTACTGTATGGGCCTGATCCACCACTAAGTCAATAGGAATTTTGTTACTGTATGAGAAAAGGGGTTTAGACTAAGCCTCTTTCAAAACTACTTTTCTTGATACATATTTGATTATTTTATTTTCATTACATCATCTACTATACACGCTGCTATACCATATCTGTTCCCTCAGCAAATAAGTCAAATGTGTATGAACAGAAGGAAGGAAAGTGAAAGTGTCAATTCTTGCTGTGAAGCTTACAAAAAATATTTTTTCCCTGGCTCCTATTAAGCAAATTTCATATGCACATGGAATATGCAAAGAATACAATTTACTGAGATGCCAGAGGGCTGGTGGTAGAATAGAGCCATCTGCTTTGGAGTAAACCAAAATCCCTGAACATAACACAGATTCACCTATGGAACTTTGGCTTTCTACCGACAGTTCTTTGAAGGAAACAATAAAACCAACAACCATATCTTTTTACTGTAATCCACTAAAAGCACTGCAGATAAGACTTTACAAACCATCCAGAAAAGCTGAAGAAATTTAAATACCTGTTTTCCTCTCTGTGCTTTCCCAACCAGCAAGAATTTTGGTGTCACAGTTGCAATGGTGAGGTTGTGAGAAAGAAAAAGGTGAGGCAGGTAACCTCCAAGACAATGTGTTGCCTGGCTGCTGCTTTTAGGCGATTGCTTCTTGTCTTTTCCTTAATCACTTAATGCAGAAAGCACTCTGCCAGCTTTCTTCTTATCATCCAAACTGGTGTTCATCAATATTCAGCTTTCCATCTTTGGGAAACTTTTCTCTGGGCTGAACAGTTTCAGTTTCTGCATCTCCTTTGCCAGGTCAGATTTCTCCAGGTTTCGTTGGGAGCATGGTTAATTTTTTTTTTTTAATCTTGGTTATTCTTCTCAAGAGTCTCTCCAAATGACTATTAGTTGCTTAATCTCAGAGCATTCGGCAATGCCCGGGAGCTGATATTCCTGGAAAGACTTTATCTCCTTAAGCCCATTTGATTTTTATGTCTCAAAGTAATATTTCTGTATATGTGAACAGGAAGGTACCTTTTGGGGGGGCTGAGTTTGTTCTGTCTTATTTTCTTAATGTATTTTAGCCCTGTTGGTTTCATGTTGAAATCACTGAGAAATGGGAAAGGATTCCCATGTTGACCAATTGCTAAGGGTTTCCTCTCGCTTTGTTCACTTTTCCATGACAGCCAAAGCCTTTTTAGATAAAATTTAATGTGTATTATCTATCCTTTTACTATAGTCTACAAGTTCAAAATGAGAAGAAACTGTTGCGGAGTCTCACAGTGAGACTTCTTACTGCTGGCCATTTGAGCTTCATGGATAACCATTTGGTGGTCTCTCTCCAAAAGGTTGGCCCAAATATATAATATCACATCACAATGGCACAACAGCATTTTAGATACCTCCACCGATCTGGAGCTTGAATGACACTCAAACCTTGCAAAAAAAATCAACAAGTTGGAGATTCTAGCCTGATGGCACTGAAACTTTATGTATTTTATTTCCACTGCACATTGTACTGTTCCTAGTGGACGTCAATAATTTATTTCCAAGCCGGAGTTTCCCAATCTTGAGTTCTGAAAGAAATGAGAACAAACTATCTCCCCAAATCATTAGTGAAAGGCTTCAGTGCTGAAAGGAAGGCTTGCATGGCTGAAAATGTGAAATCATTAAATTACATTATTTAAACAGCGGCAGGTCATATTTTAGCTGCAGTACAATGGAAGTGGAAATGTATTAAACATCTTGAGAGCCAGGAGACAGCCATTAAAATGCACTGATATGGGTAACAATAGACATAGATGAGGGTAAAAAAAATTTAAAAGCCTTTTTTTTTTAATGTGGAGATCAGTCAAAATGAATGGTGGGTAAAGACAATGGTAACAAAAAGCAAACAAAATATTGTTTACGTTTATTAGATCTTGTTTCATCTG